CCCCAGGGGGGATGGTCATGCCGCAATCCCTTCTCCTCCATTCTCCTCTCGGGATCTTGGGCACACACGCACACGCACACGCACCTGGTGTGAGTTTTAAGCCACTGGGTCCGGGACGCGAACCGCAATCCCCTACATGGGAGTCCAGCGACATGGCCATTACGCTAACTGCTGGTCCCACTACTGGAACTGTTTAACCTGGAGAAGGGATCCACAAGATGGTGTGGGTTGGCCAGCCAGTTTTCAAGTATCGGAAGGTGCATAATATGAAAGAGGAGTTTGCCTCATTTTGCTTTGTGAGAATTCACCATCAGGGGCAAAGAGTGGTTTGCTGTGAGAAAACCGATTTTGACTCAGTCTAAGGAAGAACTTCCGAATGATTCAAGATGACCTGATTTGCAACGGTCTGATTTGAGGGAGTGGGATTTTCCCATCACTGGAGGGATTTTAAGCAGAGGTAAGATAACTACTTGGCAAGGAGGTTGCAGAAAGGAATCGAGTATCTGGTCATAAGGGCAGGGAACTAGACAACCATTAAGGTTGCTTTGACACATAATTTGGGATTCAGGAGAGGTGGGGGGTGGGTGTGAAAGTAGCTGTAGCCCTTGGAGTAGGTACCTCTTAACGAGTTATTATCACTGCTTCCAGTCTCTCCTCCTTCAGCTCACTCACCTCGCACCTAGGCTCCAGATGTCTTTCTTTGAGTACTTTACCATGAGACTGTCTTGCTTAAGCATCATAGAATCTCAGTACCTAGAGGCCACCTGGTTCGGTCCTTCACCAGATGCTTTCATCACCTGCACACCACCCACATGGAGTTGTTGTCCAGTTTGATGATCAAGAGCTGTGTACCCTTTTTTTTTTTTAAAGGTTTTTGCCATGGGGGTGTGCACTCACCAGAGACACAGAGAGAGACAGTGAGATGGAGAGTGAGAAATCACCCTGCAGGGGGATGGCCATGCTGCAATCCCTTCTCCTTCATTTCCTCCTGGGATTTTGGGCACAAACACGTGTGCACACACAGCACACACACACACACACACACACACACACATTTCCAATGTGATTTTTCAGCCTCTAGGTCTGGGAATCAAACTGCTGTCAGCCATGTGGGAATCCAGTACCTTAACCACCATGCCACCTGCTGGTCACACTGCCTACCTTTTGAGGTAGTCCTTTCTAATCGCAGAGAACACTGCTAATCATTACAAAGTTTTCTCTAAACATGGCAACTTTTTTTTTATTGGGATGTTGGAATTAGGACTTTTTTTTTTTTTCTTTTCCTTCTCTGGTTTTGGAACTGTTGGTAATAAATTTTGAAGGATTTCAAGAGGCTGGAACCATGAGATGAGACATTCATTATGTATTTTTTTATTATAAAAAAGAAAAGAAAAAGAACATCTTGCATCTTTCTTGTGGTGAACCTAAATCTGCTTCTCTATAACTTGTGTTCACTAGATTTTTAGAGCCCTTCGAGTCACACAGAACAAATCTACAGCTTCCTCTTCTCCTTGAGCCCAGTAATGATTTGCCAACAGCAGACAAATTTCTCCTGGGATTCTCTAGTCCTCTCACTGGATATACTTTTGTTAACATTTCCCTTGAAGTGTAGTTCCCATAATTTAACAGAGGGCATCCGCTGTGGTCTGACCAGTGCCAAGTAGCACAGGATGATCACCTCCTTTGTTCTAAACATTATACTCTTATTAATATAGCCCAAGGTCACAGCACTTCTTTTTAAAAACAATTATTTATTTAATTTTATTTGTCATTATTATTTTTTAAATTTGACCCGAGAGAGAGAGAGAGAGAGAGAGAGAAAGGGAAAGGGAAAGTGAAAAAGCAAATCTCAGTTCCAGGACTCAAACTGCAGTCAGTCATGTGGGAGTCTGGTACTTTAACCATGATGCCACCTGCTGGCCCCGGCTACAATACTTTTAGTTGTAATCAACCCATGATTTCAGCTCATGATGAGCTTTCATTTGTTCTAAAAACCCTCAGAGCCACAACTCTCATATCCTACATTGTATTGTTAGATTTGGGGATTCAAATAAGGGAGTTTACCAGCTTTGTGTAATTTGTAAATTTGATCTAGTGACATTAAAACAAAACTCCTTTGTGTGCAATTCAACTGGTGAAGAATCCATCTAGACTAACTTGTACCCACTCCACTTTTCTTCAGATTGTCCCAAGCGTATTGAGAGACTGTTCTGTTGAACTTCAGATACACTGTGGGTATAGTATTCCCCTGGTCTACCCATCCAGCCACTTTATGAAATAAATTAGCTGAGAAACAAATCATTTGCTTTTCCTGAATCCATGCCGGGCCTGAGTGGTCTTTGCTTCCTTCTGTAGGTGCTTATCAGCTATTCTTTTCATCATTTGTCCCAGAAATTTCTCCTCAATCAACGTCATACTTATTGGGACCAGCAGTTAGCGTAATGGCTATGTCGCTGGACTCCCACGTAGTCAACCTGGACCCGTAGTTGTGTCCTGGACCCGGTGGCTTAAAACTCACGCCGGGCGCGTGAGCGTGCATGCCCAAGATCCCCAGAGGGGAAAGGAGGAGAAGGGATTGCGCCGTGACCATCCCCCCTGGGGGGTGATTTCTCGCTTTCTGTCTCTCTGTCTCTCACTATCCGGCGAGTGCACACGCCCTATAGCAAAAACCTCTCCAAAGAAAACCAAAAACCCAAAACCAAAACAAAAAATCATACTTATTGACCTGTAATTTGTGGAAGTCACCTTTTCCTATCTGTGAAATTGTGGGGCCACGCTTGCCCACCGCTAAGCTGCAGTGCATATCTCTCCCATTCTCTTAGAGCTTTTCAAGACTGCTGGCAATTGTCCTCCAACTTGGGTTTCAAGTCCTCAAAGTGCCCTAGGCTGTTATTGACCTAGACTAGGAGATGGAGTTGCTCAGAGAAGCTAAAGACCATTTTCTACTCTGATAATCATTCTTGAGAAGAGAAGGCACAAGAGAGAAGCCAAAGAGGTTTTGTTTTCTCACTATAAAGCCATTGGCAAGGCAGCCCAACACTCATCGAATAATACCCAAAACTTGCCTTGCCAATCTGATTTCCCACCATTTAACATGAACCGTCTACTTCAGCCAGGCCGGTCTCCTTGCTGCTCTTCCAGAAAGCCTAGACTTTCTCATCTCTATGCTCCCGCTGAGTTTTTCCCTCCCAATCTGTAATGCCTATCACTCCACCCGCCCGAATTCCACCATAGCCTTTCTTACAATTTGTTTTAGTCCTTTTTGTTTTCACCATACAATTGAAGTTACATGCTAGACTATGCATTTCATCCATTGGATCATGGCACAGTTTTGTCTTCCTGACAGTACACACCCTGAAAGTGTACATGTCTTCTTTCCCTCATAGTAAAGAAGCCAGCACAGGGCAGGTCTACAGTCCTGGTAGCTGTCCTACCTATGGAGATGTCCACAGTGACTGACCTCTGACCCCTCACACACACCACAAATTCAGATCTTAAGATAGCTGTGTGCAGCTCCCTGAAGGACTAAAATAGAAACCAGATAAATCTAGGAATGTAGACTGGACCCCATCTAGGCTAAAGATTTATGCAATGTGGGAAAAAAAAATCCAGGTATATCCTTAGCTTCTTTTCAAACAAGGAGCTGGGCCTTCTAGCTGGACTCAGGGATAGCAGTTAGCAATGGGGCCAAGAACCTCAAGGTACACAGGTACAGGATTAGCTGTCAATTAGGTTGAAAACCTCCTCCAAACCCACTGGTCTTGGAGGTTTCCTCTTCCAGACTTTTCTAAAGTGTCAAAAACCCAAATGGAATCTCTCACTGATGGGTTTGCTTTCACACCTTGATTTCTTTCTTTCCTTTCTTTCTTTCTTTCTCTTTCTTTCTTTCTTTCTTTCTTTCTTTCTTTTTTTTTTTTTTTTTTAGAGGTGTTTGCTATAGGGCTCGTGCGCTCTCCAGACAGACACAGAGAAACAGAGAGACAAAAAGCGAGAAATCACCTCCCAGGGGAGATGGCCATGCCGCAATCCTTTCTCCTCCACTCTCCTCTCGGGATCCTGGGCACGCATGCACACGTGCCCGGCGTGAGTTCAAGCCGGGTCAGGGACTCGAACCTTGGTCTACTACATGGGAGTCCAGCGACGTAGCCATTACACTAACTGCTGGTCCCAACACCTTGATTTCTTAGAGGAGAGGCAGTATCTAAATCTTCCCAAAATTACCAGCCTCCTACCTTGGAGGTCACATCCACCCGCCCCCCTGCCACCATAGGAGGCCTAGTTTGGTAATATCTAAAATGGAGTAGGAGATGGAACATAGAACAAAGACTGGATTGATCTCGAAAAGGTCACGTAATCTAGTCCTCTGCTTTCGGGAAGATGGACACCAGTGCTTTCCTTAGTCGCCATTCATTCCATTTGGCAACTGTTACGGAGGATGTACTAGGTGCCCATGCTTATCTCCTGTCCAGAGCAAAATCTTGCCTGTGTTTCACTTCATCTCACTGTCCTCCCTATCATTCCCGGAAGAAATGAAGAACAAGCCATGGCTCTGTCCTTTTCTAGGAGCTAAACATTTGAAGACGTTCACAACGTCCTTGTCATGTATTGATAGTAGGCGCTCCACAACCATTGAATGTTACCTTATACAGCTTCCTCCTTTCCAAATTAAAAACAAACAAACACAAACCTAGTCCTTTGGCATATTGATTTTGCTCTTCCTCAGTTTTTCCACATCTGCTAAAAATGTGTTGACCAAGATTAGATCCGTTCTTGCTTTGAAAGGCCTAACCCACAACAGGTGGATGGAACAAGTCGAGCAGGACTGTGGGAAGGCAAACGTGTTAATGAGTTACATTCTAGGTTTGTTTCTAACACTAACTGTGATGGGCTTTTCTGGATCCATTTCTCCAACTATGAAATAAATGAGTTGGACTAGATGACTCTGGGGCAGCTTCGAGTTTGAAAACTTACACTCTCGCCCTTTCCTGTGCCCTGGTTGACGCCATATGCTTTTAGAGGCTAACACGGAAGGGTAAAATAAGTCTCCATAAAATCCAGAGAAGAGATGATAAACTCCTCTTTGGATCCTGTCTGGAGTCACAACTGAAGAAAAAAAGAGAAAGAAGAAAGAAAAAGAGAAAGAAAGAAAGAAGAAAGAGAAAGAAAGAAAAAGGAAGAAGAGACAGAAAGAAAGAAGAAAGAGAAAGAAAGAAAAAGGAAGAAGAGACAGAAAGAAAGAAGAAAGAGAAAGAAAGAAAAAGGAAGAAGAGACAGAAAGAAAGAAGAAAGAGAAAGAAAGAAAAAGGAAGAAGAGACAGAAAGAAAGAAGAAAGAGAAAGAAAGAAAAAGGAAGAAGAGACAGAAAGAAAGAAGAAAGAGAAAGAAAGAAAAAGGAAGAAGAGACAGAAAGAAAGAAGAAAGAGAAAGAAAGAAAAAGAAAGAAGAGAAAGAAAGAAAGAAAGAAGAAAGACTTACACTCTGATTACTTCCCAGCTCCTCCATGCTCTATTTTTGTTACTATATGCTAATATCCACATTAGTTTGGGAAAAAGGAAAAGAAAAGAAGGGAGGGAGAAAACCAGTTCTACACTATGGACTCATTCAACTTGTGACTCTCCCTCCCCCACATACTCTCCCAGATTCTTCTTTCCTTTCTTTCTTTTTTATTTTTTTTTCAAACTGTACACATGTCAAGTCGATAATGGCCTATCTTTCTTGTCCCATGTACCATATTAGTACATTAGCTTGGGGTTTTGGTCCTTGTACTTACTACCTTGTGTTTGTCCCCTCTGAACGTCATCTTGGTTGTGATGGTTCATCTCCCTCATTTTGTCAGGGTCACTTGGAAGAATTCTATTCCTGGTTTCTGAGGTGTCAGCAACCTTGCCCAACTGTCACACTTGATGAGCAGACTCCCAGTTCAGTCCTTCAAGTCACTGAAGATAACATGAAATCCCATAAAGCTACTCTGTGTGTGGGGCCTCACCAAATCCATCCCCACAGGGTTGACAGAGAGTCACTGACCACGATCCTGGAGAGAAATCGCTCCCAGGGCTCCAATGACTCCTCTGATTTGAATTCATAGAATAAGAAACAAGAATCTCCCGGGAAAGAAAGGGCCCCTGCTCTGACAGTCGCCCAAGGCCAGGGAGGCCACATGCCTGATGCTGTGCTGGATTCAGATACAATTCCAGCATGTTAGAGGTCAGACCTTCTCCCAGCCCCCAGTCCAAGATGAGGGCAGTGGAGGGGAAGGAGGAGAAGGAGGAGGAGGAGGAGGAGGAGGAGGAGTTATTTTCCTTAACCTCAATGGCAACAGAGGAGGAAGTATTATTTTTGCCATTTCCTTAGGAGGCTCAGGGTGTATAGAGACTTCAGTTGCAGGAACGCAGTGTATTGGGGGAGAGGGGGATGGGAACAGCAGCCTTATCAAGATTGCAGCTGGGGCCCCACAGGTCCTCAGTTTACCAAGGACTCATTTGCATGCAGGGGGTCAGCAGAGTGCAGCCCAGATTTATATCAGCTGAAAGGTACAGGAGGCAGAGGGAGGCCTGACAGTTTGATTTCTAGCCCACGGAGGCACCCTGCTCCAAGGTCTACGGGGGCAAGGCCTGTGCAAGGGAGGCAGGTTGGGAGTGCTGGCTGGATTTTTTATTTTTATATCAAGACACTGTGTTTAAAATTTTTACAAAGGACAAACTCCATGGGTTTCCGTTAGTGTTTTAAGAACTTTTCTTTAAAAAAAAAAGAAAAAGCCAACAACAACAAAAAAACACCGCCTTTTTGAAAGAGAAATGACAGACACAAAAGAGACTGTAAAGAAAATGGGGCGAATTTCTGACAGCATTTCCCTAAGGGCAGAACCCAGATTAAACCCGGGGGGGGGGGCAGTAATGACCTGGCCTCCACAGTACTTCGTTCACCAAATCTAGGGTCTAGCCAGGCCAATGCTGCCAGCCTTTGAGGGAAGCAGGTCATCCTGTAGGCTCTGCAGCCCCCCACAGGGACATGGAGATGGTTGGAGATCTCTCCCCTCTGGCCCTCCAGCCCCATCCATGGTTAGTCCCTTCCTCCTTCCATCCCATGGTCTTGCTCAGATCTGTTTCTTTCTTGGGGGGTCCTGTTCCTTGGTCTGATTGTGTGAACACGGGGGGGGGGTGGTGGGTCCAGGCCCAGAGA